TTGGCAACTTTAAGACTTGTGGACTTCAACTCCCAGAATTCTGGGAGTTGAAGTCCACAAGTCTTAAAGTTGCCAAGGTTGGAGACCCCTGGTCTAAGGCAATTGAATATGATGTAAATTATTTTAAGAACTAATATTTTGATGCTTTAATATCCATATAGAGATAATCACAAGAAAGAACATGTCTGCTCTAAGCACATATTTTAAATATTTTGGCATTTGTCAGCCTTACTAAAATCCACACTGCTGGTCCCACTGGATTTTCTATTAATATTCAACTTGGAAGTTTCAAAACTCTTTTTCATATGAAGCATTCTCATCAAGGTGGTTCATTTCATTCCTTGTACAGGCCTACCCACAGACAAAAATGTATCGTATCTTTTTAAACAACATATTCCAAATAAGTTTCAAGTTTCTTTTTAAATAAAATATTCTACATGGGTTACCAGAACACCTGATGACAGGGGTCCACAGTTCACTTTTTGGTACACTTTCTTCTTAGGACTCCCTCTCTAGATTCAAGCTTCTTTTTTTAGCAAAGGTTGCAGAGACAATGTCAGTGCTTTAAGTTTGGCACGGTCAGGAAACAGAAGCAGCAGGGATTTCACAAATGTGCTTTATTTTTGTGAGCAAAATAATAGAACCTTGGAGATCTGTTGGAGTTTCTCTTTACCACGTTCTTATACTTAACAAAAACAAGATGCAGTTTTTTTCAGTTACTTTCTCTCACTTTCCTCTTTCTCAAGATTGAGTCACCATTTCCATCTCTTAAAGGTTTATTATTCCCTTCTTCCTCCCCAAATCCAGTTCTTCATTCTTTCCAGGATTAACTGTAGATGAAATGTCACCCTTATCAGTCTTGATTTAGGATTTTGGGGTGCATTAATGAATCATATTTGTTAAGATCTGCATGTCTTGATCCTGTTAAATATATCAGTACCATGGTATCCTTCTTGATTGGCTTTGGGGACTGGAATTTGGAGACACTGTTTTACAGTAGCTCCAGATTTTCTTTAATGGCTGGATCCAGCCAGAAATGGTGGGGTTGATTTAGTGGCTGCTACCTTATTGGGTCCCAGTGGGGGGCTGGTTTTCTTTCTCCAACTCTTTAATATCTGTATGAAACTGCTAGGTGAGATCGTCTGTCAACTTGGAGTGCAGTATCATCATTACTATTTTGGGATGCATGGTGAGATAGATGAGATCTTATCCCAGCATCTGGGATAAGGCTGTGAAGATCTGGAATGGACAGAACAGCTTAAAGCAGAATGCTTGCAAGATGGAGTTACTGTTTTGTCCTTCAGGATGTTTGAGAGCTTCCAGTAGCAAGACTTGTTGGGGAAGCATTTATCCCTCTAGAAGTAGGCCCTATGACTTGAGGTTCCTTTTGTCTCCTGTTTGAACAAGGGATAGCATGTAGATGTGCCATGTTTTGATTGAAAACACAATTAGGTAGATCATCTTTTCACCCTGTATAGTAGGTACACTGAATTAAACTGTTTACCTATATTTCATTTATATTAAATAGATTATAGTTTTGAAATAAAAGAAACAGTCACTAGTCTATATGTAAACAATAGACATATGTATGTAGCCATGCATTTATACATGCACATATGCAAGCACTCAAAGTCTTATCTCAACATTTCCCCTTTTCCCACTTTTCCAATAATGTCTGTTCTCTGTTGTACTTTATTTAATTCTTGATGGTGAGCAAAGTTCCCTTGCTTGGAATGTTGTTATTTAGGCAAGCAAATAGCAGTGACTGGCTAATCCTTTTTTCTTAATATCTTTGCAAAATTTCAATAGATGGCATTAAAGCAAAATAATAACAGCAAGGGAAGCAATGGTTAGCTCATGCTTTGGATTGATTTATAGTGTTCTTAGTTAGGTGAGAATCAAACTGCTGGCAATCAGCAATCGGCAGTCAGCAGAAATAGCCTGCAGCAGTACTGCATTCTAACCACTGCACCACCATGCTGTCTTCTGCCAAATTCTAGGCAAGCTGCACCACCTTTCTGCTCTGTATATGTCTACATGCTGCTGTCACTGTCCTATAGCTGGCTAACTGGGCTGGAAGAGAATAAAATGTAACATTCTCACTGACTCAAGATTGCCTTAGCTTTCCATCCCTCTGAGGTCGGTAAATTGAGGCCCCAGGTTGTTGGGGGCAATATGCTGACTCTGTAAACCACTGAGACAGGGCTGTAAAGCACTGTGAAGCGGTATATAAGTCTAAGTGCTATTGCTATTGCTACTCTTCTCTTTTGCTGCACGTCATCCCAGGCATCCTACACCAGAGTGCTAAAGAGTGCTAAAGAAATGTCTCTGTTCTTCAAGCACTGCAGCCTGGTCATTAACACATTTAAGTCACATGTATTATAGCAAAGTATGAGTCAGCTGACATTTTTCCATAAACTCCATATACTTAAATACCACTTTTTGGATTCTGCCTTTCCATTAAAAAAAATAATGCTTAGTTTTGCTTTGCTGTAAGTTGGCACAGCCCTCTTTCTCTTCACATACTCCTATGTTTCCATTGTAGCTTAATAACAATTTCTATGAAAGTTGCAAAATGCTAACATATCAAGGTTTTTCCCTTCTTCCTTGAAAGATGTGTTTGACTATTCATAAATCACCAGGCTTAAATTATTGCAATTCTCTATGTATGATATTTCAATATATATCTATTTTCAGATTTCGTAATTTTTTTGGCTATATTGAGCCCTATTGCCCAAACCAGGAAGCACATTTCCCTCTTTTATTTTTCCATTTCCCTATCTTTACAGTCATATCTGGAATGGGAGGAAAATGACATTTCATAATTGGGAGACATAATGTGCTGAATTTACCCTTAATTTCAAAAAATGTTGGCTGGTGACTTTCCGGTTGTTTTGCCATTCGATGCATATACAGAATACCTGCCCTACAATATATGCATTTTAGGTAGTGCTTTCTCATTTTGAAGGATCTATGAAATTTTTTTTCTTATTTACATGCTAAAGCTTTGGTCCTATTTTTCCTTAAATTGGATTTTAAGCCTTTCTGTTTGCCACACAACTCAGAAAAACTGCTGACAATTCTCTGAGTCTATATGAATTTTTAAAAACACATCTCTCCCTTTATTTTCTAGATAAACAAGCAATTTGCCAGTCCTTGATTTTTGTTTACTTTAATTTACTAGAAAAAGCATATTTACCCTGTGATTCCACAAGGATGAATTTGAGAGATTCATGAGAACACTAAGTTTAATAAAGAGAATATGCCTAGTCCTTATCATAGGTAAAGACATGCTTGAAAATTTCTGGCTAATTCCTACTGATAATCCTAGAACATGGGTGGAATAACATAATAAGTTTCAGTGTTAATGTGGTAACATTTTCCCTTTTTTTGAATGAAAAACTTCATACCAGTTTGATTAAAATTTTAGGATACCTACTTGTGGTTCATATTCATATTTCTTGCTGACCTTATCTGGGTTATTGTTCAACATTTGTACTGAACAATTTTAAGGACAAAAGCCCAGAAGTTTGTTTTTCTAAATGAAATATACCCATTTGCATTACTTTTGTTGGCCAGTCAGGCCATTTTTGTCCAGTAATAGTAGATAAAAAGATATTTTGAGACCCTCTTGAGCATAATACTGTGGTTTAGTATCACATACATTAATTTAAATCTCTAACTATACTTTGTCCTGATCATAACTTTTAGGAGAGAGCATTCACACTTACTTTTAAACTACTTGCTTTAGATATTATAGAAAAATTAATTAAAGATAAAATGGGATAGTATCACTCTATGCCTCTAGAATGACTATAAGGAGTTAAAAAAAGATTACAGGCTTACAAATAAAGGATCCTCCATTTCTTTTGCATGGAATATATGCTTGTCAGAGAGAAGGCAAGGCAACAATTCAGGGGTAGTGAAGTGGTATTGATGGACTCCAGCCACAATCATTAATTTATTTGAAAAATCAAATTTCCTGACATTTACTTAATTCTCAACTTTACCTGTTTTTTTGGGGGGGGGGGGTGATGGAACCCTCCCAAACAATAAAGTAGTAGCATAAAATGTCACCCATTATCTGTATTTTCTGAGGATGATTTGGGATTTATTGTGGCCTTGGAGACCTCTTGTAAATAAAGATGACGCAAAAAGCTGGTGCTTGTCTTTCCAGCATTTTTTTTAAT